GGAAAGAGTTGACTTTAAGGTTATCTACTGATTTACCAAATATCAAGTCTATGTCTGGCTTTACTCTGTTGTCTGCTTTACTCTGTTGTCTGTTTTACACTTAGAAGATGTCACAGCATACATTTTTACTAATGACTTTTTTTTGTCATTCTATTGCTGACAAATCTTTCATTATTTTGTCACTAATAAGTCAGTTCAAAGTAGAGCTTTCAACTTAATTTTTTGGGGAAAAGTTTCATTTTTAAAAGTATTTTAACAACTTGAACAGAGTTGTGAAAAGAATATTTTGTTTCTGTGGGAAGGCTCTATTTACACTTCAGTAAGGGAAAGCATCTAGTGGAACGTATACTGTGGTATCTTCTTAGGAAAGCTTCATTAGATGGTTATTTATTGCATTTTCAATTTGCACATCAGATGTTGGCTGTGTCATAGTCACAAATTTGGTGAGAGTAAATAACCTTAGTATTGTAAAGATGTGGTTTATAAATCTCTTACGCATACAAAAATGCCGTGTTCTATTTTTTTATTCCATCTATACAAAGACATTAAAAATGGTGATCACATAGTTGTCTTTAATTTATAAATTTAGATATCATTTGCCTTTTTTACTTTCAGTAAAAGTAGAGCATATATTTGATAAACATTATTAAACTAACATTTTGCTGCACTGATTTTTAATTAGGAATTATATAAATAAAGCATTTAGAATAATGTTTGTCAAATACAACTCATTATTTAAAGTTAATACAACAAAAAGGCAAACCTCATTTAAAATTTACTTTGAAGCTCAGTGTTTTTGCTTTCTTAGTTGTCTACCACCTCCCTCCCTTCTCCCTCCCTTCTCTGTTCAAATGGAGAGGATATAAGGAGAGTACAGATGCGGCAGGTCTTAAACGAAAGCGTTCCCAAGGTACAGTAATTGTAGTTTTACTTCTCCATGTAGTTATATTCCTGGCTTGTAGCTTTCAGTTGTGTTTATAGCATTCGGTTGTATTTAGAGCATAGAAATTACTAGTATTTTAGAAATGTATCCATTGTATTATTTTGCTTAGTGTTAATTGTAAGTGGTGTAAACATTTGCAAACAATGTGTATAGTTCAATAATGGGATATTCGCCAATATTAAGATGCTTTAAGACAACACAAAGGTTTAGAGAGAAACAAAATTTTGTTGGCTTAACTTGGTCTTATAGTTTTAATGTTTTAAGCATATGTTGCTCAAAACTATTTTAACAAAATGCAGTTTTGAAACATTGGATTAAAAGGCTTAAAGTACTGACTTGGATCAGACATAGAAGTAGAAAAGGAAATAATTATTAAACTCTTGCAAAAGATTTTTTTTAATTTATGAAAAGTTCTTTTATTTAAAACCAGAGTTTGTACACTGGTTTTGTGTTTTATTTGCAACTGAAGATGTTATTCATGTTTGTTATGTTAATTGCATCTTGGTCTTGTGTTCAATATTAGTAATGTGTCCTGGCAGGCAAGTAAGATATAAATAGGTTTTTCGTAAATTTTTGAAGTGGCATTTGTACCATAACTCAGAAGTACATTTTCCTGGCAATGATTTGCCTTGCTATGTATTCTAGTAAGGAATAGCTTTTCACAGAAATGTCTTATGATCTTAGATCTTGACCAGGACTCCATCCTTTCATAGTTAGCATCTTCAAATCAGGAGAGTTGGACTCTGTCACTAGCTAGCTTTGTGGCAGGTCACTTAATCCCTTTGTACGTGTATGTCTTTATATATAATGGGAGATAATATTTTTGCCTAAAGAGGATTTTAAGAAAATAAATTAGGCATAGTGATTTGAAGGTGGCTCGTTTTCTGAAGGTATGTGAATTTTTCTTACCTCTATACAAGAGATAAAGAGGAAAAGTTAAAGTCCTTCAGACAATAAGACATCAAACTGTGAATTGGTGGACATGTTTTGACAATTTTCTTAACTGTTGCTTCCACAAACATTACTAAATTTGTGATATGTGGCAAGTACTGTGCTATGACTGTTTGGTGCTAGTGATACAAAATGACCAAGGTATAGTCCCTGCCTCACAGAGTTTGCATATTCCTGAAGAATATAGGTTTGCACTTTTTTTTTTTAAGAGCTTTTCACCAAGCATACCTCAGTTACAGAAATGCAATAACCATATTAATTTGAACATCATAGTAGGAAAAAATTTATTTCTTGTTAAAAGATCTTTCAACCTTGGAGCTCTGTTATGGTGGGCAATATCCAGTGATAACTGGCTTTAGTATCCATTCCAAAAATACCTTATATTCTAATAAATTAGATGATTCTCTTCCCAGTTTAAAGATAATTTTTTTTCATCTGAGTCTTGTTTTATCTTGTGCTGAGTGAAATTTTCACAGATCAAAAAATAAAATCAACAGAAGAAATGAAACTTAAGTTTCTATGTCAACTGTACTGAGAACTTTCATGAAGGTTTATATCCCTTAGTCCTAAGGAATGGCCACATCACCTGGGAAAGCAGTTCTTTAATAATCAGATCATATTTCCTATAGAGGTTAAAATTATAGTAGTTAAGCCAGTTTATTCCATGTTGTTCCAACAAGTTGCCTTTTCCTGTAGCATGCTTAATAACTTATAAAGTCCCTATCCATTACTTGTTTCACATCAATATATGTTTCTATGAAATAGTTTTTTATTGAACTGAGTTAAAATATTGATTCAAAAAATCTGTGTATTATAATTTTCACACAAATGAAGTTTGTCTTGGAGACCTTCAAATTAGTTTTTCCTTTTGCAACAGCTATTCATAGTTTCAAGTTGAGTCGAAACCACGTGGACTGGCACAGTGTGGATGAAGTGTACCTTTATAGTGATGCAACAACATCTAAAATTGCAAGAACAGTTACTCAAAAACTGGGATTTTCTAAAGGTATTTGTTAAATATTACTAGAGTTTGTCAAAATATTGGGAATCTAACTTTTTCTCTTATGTTCAAAATAGATGATTCAGGTTTTATTTTTAGTATTTTTTAAGTATGTATTAAATTTAGTGACAGTTACTACCCTGTTAAACTCTTTTTAAGGTGACTGAGTTAACATGTATTCATTAATGAATAATTGTATATTTAGAATGGTCTGGCAAGATTAATAAATACACTTTTTACTTCTAAAAGCACAAAAGCAGTCAAACCTGAGGCAGTGATGTGAAATAAAACATGGCAGTTGAAATATAGTGTCAGTAAAGATGAAGACTGGAAATTTTTCAGTGGATTTAGTGAGATGTAGGTCATCGGTGACTTAGATGGGTTGCTGGGACAGAACCAGATTGGCATGGGTTGAAGTTTAAGTAGAAGTTGAAGAAATGGAGGCAGTGAGAATAGATAGCTCTTTAAACAAGTTCGACTAAAAGAAAGAAAAGAGCGACTGGTACTTGGGGAGGAGGTGAATGCATTATCAAAAAATCTTTCAAAAATTTTTTCTAAGTCTGATAATTTTTTTACTGTATCATTTTTAATTCTTTGATAATAGATGTGCTTGAATATTTACATGTTCATTAGTCAGTTGTATTTGTTTTGTGAGTTACTTTATCAACATCTTTAGCTCGTTTTGCTGTTTGGATGATTCATTTCACTTTTCGATGAATAAGTTCTATTTGTATGCTTACGTAATTAACTTATTACTGTGTGTCATATTTTGCCAAAACTTTCCCAGTTTGTCATTCGTCTTTTATCTTTGCTTCATGATACATTCATTATAGAGAAGTTTTTAATTTTTATGTGTTCAGTTCATCCTTTTTTCTTTCCTTTTTGCCTTATGGTTTCTGGCTTCGCTGTCATGTCCAGTTCAGCAGTTTATATTAGAACTGATCAATACTTATCTTACAAATTTTATCCCCCACAACCCAGTGAAATTTTTTCATAGTATTCCTTTTATTTCTTTATTTTTTCAGTATATTGTGAAAATGCTATTTCTGTAATAAGCAATAAACTTAGAATCATAATTTTCCTACAGCATCAAGTAGTGGGACCAGACTTCATAGAGGTTATGTAGAAGAAGCCACATTAGAAGACAAGCCATCACAGACTGCCCATATTGTATTTGTTGTGCATGGCATTGGGCAGAAAATGGACCAAGGAAGAATTATCAAAAATACAGCCATGTGAGTTCTTTGATGAATACATTCTCCATCTAGTCAGAGTCCAAACTTTCGTCCAGGCTATAATAGAGCCTGGACAAAATAATAATATATAATAATATAATCGTTATGCCACATGCTTCTTCAGTACCAACTATTCTATCTGTTTAAGTTGTAGAGTAAGTTTCTGGACCAGATTTTGAGAGTGATTATATCTAGATGATGATGATGATGATGATATTTATTTGATTCTTTTTCCTCCATAACATGGAGAAGAGGTTTAAGAAAGCCTTTTTAACTTAATATATTGTTAGTTTACATTAAACTGAGGTTGAAAGCAAGAAAAAAGTCTGGTTTGAAGTCTATGTTACTCTCTGAATTGCAGAAACTGAGAATACTGTATAATTCTGAAAAAGCTAAGAATTGTTTAAGTTACCCGTCAGCAGCTTAACTTGTCCAAGTAATTACAACTAGAGGAAATTGAACTCTAAATTTTACACGGAGAACAAACAGTGGGTGCTTTGCCAACACACCAGGCTGGTTATTTACCTCGTTTATTTATATTCAGCTTTATTCTAAAAAAATTTTAAGATGTTGTTGGGGGGAGGGATGTTTGTATTTGTGCTTCAAAAATGTTTAGGACTGTGTAAAAAGGAAATTTTAGAGTTAAGGGTTCCACCACAAACTTGGCTGTGAGCTAGCAGCCAGTATAAAGAAAAATCTTATCAGATTTATAATACGATGAGAACAAATCAGTTGTTGAGAACACAGTTTATCAGGTTCTGAAGCTTCAAGTAAATGTATTTCTTGAGTCCTTATAAAGCAAATACTGTGTGATACCAGGAACTGTGTCTTCAGCACTCTCTCTATAATAATACAGTGTTCTGTTTCACTTTTTATTGTAATACCTCTTAATGCCAGCTCATGGATTAAAATAAAAATACAGTTCAATTTGGAAAAAAAAATCTTTGTCAGATACTTCTAGGCCATCCTGATCCTTGTCCATCTCCATAGCTTGTATTACAGAGATCTCTTCCCTCTGATTCTGATTTTATTTTCTGATGATTTGCGCATTACTTCCCACAACATTTATATTATGTTCTGTGTCAAGATGCTAATTTTTTGCTTGGTTATCTAAGGAACCTGAGAAGTAGTTTTAATAACATGTTCTCTCTGGAGCTATTGATAATTGGAAAGGTACCAGCAGCTATTGATAGTTGGAAAGGTACCAGCTTGATTTCTTTGGGTGCAAGTGAGGGGAAACTTAACTCAAAAGGAGGATTCAGTAGCCCATAAAACTGACGAGTCTGAGATTTGCCAAACAAGTCATCAGAATCCAGTTGCTATCTGTTCTACTTGCCTTCATTTTTGAGCTATTTTCAGAAATCTCCTGTGGTTCCAGATGTGGTTTATATCATCTTGCGTTCGAGTTCAGGAAGAAAAGTCTTTTTTTCCAGAAGTCCCTGCTAGTCTATGCATTTCAGTGACTGATGGTGTCACCTCCAACTGCCTGAATCTATGCATGGCCATGATCTGATCTGCAAAACTTGTCATCACCCTAGAATCAGATGGAAGTTGGCTTCATCATAACCATAGGGAGAGGGAGAGCCACAGATAAAAATCAAGAGCTACCATTGGAAGTAGGATGAGTAAATATAAGGTGGCTCAACAAAAAGTGTTCACTACAGAGAAGATGGCCATCATTTCTGCAGAGACAGGTTAATTTGATGGGAAACTCCTCACATAAATTAGTAATTGATGGAAAATATTCAAACAGAAAGGAATTCTGCTCAATAATAGATGGGAAAGTTCAAAGGATTTCTTACCCTTCCCTGGCTTTCTACCATTCCTAAGTTAGTTGTTTAGGACTTTAAAGAAAGTAAAATTAACTTCATCCTTGTCATTGCTACTCTGAAGCTTGCTTGTACTTATGATTTGATTTGTGAGACTACTGTTGAAATGAGCAACATAGAATAAGGAGTTACCACACTCCACTTCTTTGGCAACCTGCTGTTCTCTGAGGATCTCTTGAAATCATGTCCCAGAGGCCTGGAAATAGAGATTTTCGCCTCTTACCTTATTTTAGTGAATGTGCAAATGAATTCAAACTGGATTTAATCAATTTTGTTCCAGCAAAATATGTTTATTATTTAAATGAGTTGAGAAGAAAGTTTATAGACAACTTCTAGGAATATCAGAGTTGGTTTACTAAAAGGGATGAATGTATTTTAAATACAATTGGATTTACTTTTTGTGGCATTTTATTACAAGGGAAATCTTTACTGAACTTATATATCTAATAGATAAATTAGTAATTTTATTTTTTAATATCTTTATTGGATTATAGTTGCTTTACAAATTAATAATTTTAAAGCTACAATTTTAGAAGAGTAAAAAGAGACTTTTAGTTAAGTCTGGCAGATTTAACACATAGCTTATCTTATTACCTCCTAAAACCTCACTGAAAATGATAGCAAAATAATTTTTTAAATAAATTGGTGTAGACCCACATGTACAGAAAAAACTGGGAGGACACAGCAAACAAGAATGTCAACAAGATTTATTTTTTGAATAGGAAATACATTCACATGGTTCACAAATCAAAATAGGAAAATGTATAGAGTGAAAAACGTCTGACTCCTTTCCTGTCTCCATCTTCCCCCAGTGTCACTCATCCTTGTGTCTCAAAGCAATGTTATTTATCTTATATTCTTCTGGAGTTTCTTTAGACAAAATACAGATTATTTTCACTCATAAGGCAGCATACTATATACACTCTAGACATGGCTTTCTTGTGTAAAAAAATGTATCTTGGATATTATTTGCATGATTTTCTCTTGCCCTCCTTTCATATATATATATATATATATATATATATATATATATAATATATATATTCTTAAAACCAGTTAGTTTATCAATTGATTGTTTTCCTAATTGAGAAGAATTATAAAGACTTTTTTCAGAGCTATTTAATGATCCTTAATTAAATGGTAATTCTCAGGTGCTATTAATCTCTTCCTTCCTTTTTCAAAATATGAACTAAACATTCACTGCCTAGTGGGAGAACATGGAAGTTTAATAAGCTTAGAACTGAAATCATGAGTTTTGTGCATGGCATTACAGCTGCACAGTAATGGGTTAAGTCTGAGCTGTAGGATAATATTTTTAAATCATTCCTTTTTCTTGTTTCCTCCATCCCTCCTTGGTCTCAGTGTTTCTCATGTAGTCAAGACCTATATATTTAGGAAACAGATTTTATTATTTTTAGTAAGGCAATAGTAGGGACATAGCATGTGCGCTCTCTCTCTCCCGCTCTCTCTGTCTCTCTTGCTTCCTATCTATTTGTCTATCTCTATCTCTGTCCCTCCCTTTTTTCCTCCATCCCTGATTATCTTCTTTCATCTTTCTTTCCTTTCCTTCCCCTTGCCCCTCTTTTGTGTGTGTGTATGTGTGTGTGTGTCACTCCAGTTAATTACAACCAAGTGATTTAGTAGACATACCTGCTTGCCTAAAGTATCTACATATGTGGCCATTTGAGAACTATGATAGTGATCCTATGGAGTAGAGGATTGTCTCAGTTTACTGTAGAAGAGGACAGTATTTTAAACAAATGTAGTGTTTGAGTTTATAAGTCAAAATCAGGGTTCTTCAGCCTCATCACTATTAACATTTTCGACCAGGTAATTCTTTGCTACGGGTGGCTAACCTATATACATTGTAAGATATTTAGCAGCATCCCTGACCTCTACCCACTAGATGCAAATAGAACCCCTACCTGTGACAACCAAAAATGTCTCCAAAAAAAAAAAAGTCTCCAGACATTGTCATTGTCCCTTGGAGGGGGGAAAAAATAAGTATATGCATGTTTGAGAAGCACTAGCCTAAGTGAACTTCTTTATTATTTTGTACATTCAGACAGCAACACACATACCACTTCCTGATTATTATATCATAATGAAATATATATATGAACTATATAGCCATCAAAAATGAATAAGTGCATAGAATAATATTAGAAATCTTAAAATATATTCCTTCTTGTATATGTTCAAATTTGTTAAAGCTGAATACTTGAAAGATGGCAAAAAAAAACCTTTTAGAATGTGGTAGTAAAAGAGTCTGAAGTTTTGGCTATCATCTTTATTTTCAGTGATGTTAATGGAAGCAGGTTGTCTTTTTCACAAACTAGAATCTATATAGACTTTTTAAATGGCAACTTTGGTGGTAGATAATCAATAAAATATAATCATATTGTAAATAATGCTTTAAAAACATACTAGAAGGACTTCCCCGGAGGCGCAGTGGTTAGGAATCCACCAGCCAATGCAGGGGACACGGGTTCAATCCCTGGTCCGGGAGGATCCCACATGCCGCAGAGCATCTAAGCCTGTGTGCTCTACACACCACAGCGAAGAGTAACCCCCGCTCGCTGCAACTAGAGAAAGCCTGTGTGCAGTAATAAAGACCCAACACAGCCATAAATAAATAAATAAACAAATAATTTTAAAAATAAAAATATACTAGAAATGGAGAAAGATAGACTTTTAACAAATAGTGTGTTGGGATAGCTAGGCAGCCATATGGAAAAAAATTAAATTGGGCCCATTTTTCACACTAAGATAAACTTCAGTAGGATCACATTTGAACCTAAGAAATGAAACCATACAAATAGTATAGATTTAAAAGGTAGGATTGAGGGGAGTTTGAATTCTTATGTACCTTAGTAATAGAGAAAACTGTCCTAACTATAACTTGATCCAGAGACCTTAAGGGAAAATATTGATAAATATGTCATCCCAAAAAAGCCATATGGCAAAAAAAAAGAAATAAGGCAAACTGAGAAAATCCATTTGCATCTTGTATCACAGATGAACAGTTAATGTCCCTAAATATAAAGAACTTCTAAAAATAGAGGGAGGGCTTCCCTGCTGGCACAGTGGTTGAGAATTCGCCTGCCAATGCAGGGTACACAGGTTCGAGCCCTGGTCTGGGAAGATCCCACATGCCACAGAGGAACTAAGCCCATGTGCCACAACTACTGAAGCCTGTGCACCTAGAGCCTGTGCTCCACAACAAGAGAAGCCACTGCAATGAGAAGCCCATGCACCACAACGAAGAGTAGCCCCCGCTTGCTGCAACTAGGGAAAGCCTGTGTGCAGCAACAAAGACCCAATGCAGCCAAAAATAAGTAAAATTTTTTTAAAAAAAGATCCCACAGGCCGTGCAGTGTGGCCAAAAAAATCAATTGTATTTCTACACTAGCAATGAAAATTAAAGCATTTCCACTTACTATAGCATCAAAAAGAATAAAATACTTAGGAATAAGTTTAACAAAAGAAGTGTAAGATTTCTACACTGAAAACTATAATACACCATTGAAAGAAATTAACGAAGACTTAAATAAATGGAAAAGGCAACCCACATTTGAGGATTAGAAGATTTAATGTTGTTAAGACGCCAGTACTTCCTAAATGGATCTACAAATTTCACCACAATCCCTATTAAAATTTCACCTATCATTTTTTCAGAAATTGACAGGCTGATCCTAAAATTCACATGTAAATGCAGGGGACCCAGAATAGCCAAAACAATCTTGAAAAAGAATAAAGATGGATGACTTACCCTTCCCAATTTCATAATTTGCTACAAAGCTATAGTAATCAAGACATTGTGGTACTGGCTGGCATGTAGATAGACCTAGATCAGTGGAATAGAATTGAGAGTTCAGTTGTTTTTCAACACGAATGCCAAAATAATGCAATCAGGAAAGAATAGCCTTTTAACAAATGGTGCTAGGACACCGGGATATCCCCATGCAAACGAATGAAGTGAAACCCCTACCTTACACCACATACAAAAATTAATTCAGAGTGAATCAAAGACTTAAATATAAAAGCTAAAACTATAAAACTCTTAGAAAATATAGGAGTAAATCTTTGTGATTTACAACCATTGCCTTGGGTTAGGCAATGGTTTCTGATATATAACACTAAAAGTAAAAGCCACTAAGGAAAAAAAAATGATAAATTGGGCATTGTCAAAATTTAAAACTTTAGTTCTTCAAAGAACACTATCAAGTAAGTAAAGACAACCCACAAAATGGTAGAAAACATTTGCAAATCATATATCTGTTATGGGTCTAGCATCTAACATATATAAAGAACACCTACAAATTGAATAATAAAATAAATAACTCAATTTTTAAATGAGTGAAGGATTTGAATAAACAGTTATCCAAATAAAATATACAGATGGCCCATAAGCTCATAAAAAGATGCTCAGTATTATTCGTCATTAAGGAAATGCAATTCAAAACCAGAGACATACCACTTCATGCTGACTAGGATGACTCATCAAAAAGATGGGAAATAGCAAGTATTAGCAAGGATGTGGAAAAATTAGGACCCTCATATGTTGCTGATGGGATTGTAAAATAGCACAGCTGCTTTAGAAAACAGTTTGGCACTTCCTCAGAAAAATTAAATGTGAAGTTAGCATAAGAGCCAACAGTTCCACTTCCAGGTACATACCCAAGAGAATTGAAAACATACATCTATGCAGAAACTTGTTAATATTCATAGCAGCATTATTTATAATAGCCAAAAAAAAAAAGGAAACAGTTTAAATGTCCATCAGCTGGTGAATGGATAAGCAGAAACGGTGTATTCATACAGTAGAATATTATTCAACCATAAAAAGCAAAGAAGTAGTGACTCATGATACAACATGGTCAAACCTTGAAACGTTGTGCTAAGTGAAAGAAGCCAGACACAAAAGGCCATGTATTATAGTTCCATTTATCTGAAAAAATCCAGTATAGGCAAATTCATAGAGACAGACAGATTTATGGTGCCAGGGCCTGGAGGTAGGAATTATCAGAAGTGAGTACTCTGGGTATGGTGTTTCTTCTGGGAGTGATGAAAGTGTTCTGAACTTAGATAATGGTGATGTTTGTACAATTCGGTGATATACTAAAAGCTACTGAATTGTTGGAAAAAAAACCAAACTATTGAGGTCGTGTCAAAAAGACACATGTCAACTTGAAGAGACTCACTGACCAAAAACGGAAACAATTTGAGCATCCGTAAGGATAATAACTACAGTGGGTTGGAATACTTCAAATATGTTTAAATAAATCTATGAGTTAGTAATGAATGTTGTCAAAAAATATAAAACCTATAGCAACTCAGTATTTAATTGTTAATAGAAGAGAAGAATTAACCATTTATCCTGCCTTTTCTCAGTTCACACAGAAACTATTTGATTGTATCACAAGGCAGCCAATACTTGATGTGAGGAAATTTCTCTTTCCAGAAGTGTAAGGAGTGATGAGATTTAAAAAACACTTTTTTGCAATCATAGTAAATTAACGGATATAAGCAGTGATCATAACAACTGCTAGTATCACCAAAAAGAGAGAAAACCAGGTATATATACCTATGGGGTAGTAGTCTTGCCAAAACAATAGAACTTGAATCTTATCAGGCCCCTATATCTCACTACCAAATAGGGAGCAATGAACATGTTAAATAACACTTGGGGATGCAGTCATTAAAAAATCAGACTCTCAGAAACTCTACAGAACATAACAGAATGACAAAGCCAAAGAAGAGAGAGAGCGATGTATAGATTAAAAGACACTTGAGAGACATATCTTCCAATTGCAATGCATAGGCTGTATTCGGAGCTCAATTCAAAAGTGTAAAAAAATATTTTTTATGTTATTATAAAATAACATTTATAGTCTAACTGGGAAAATGGGACCGCTAAACATAATTGTTGAAACGAAGGATTGGTGTGATAATAGTTCTGAATAAGTTATGTTTTCCTTACATTTTAGAAATATATACTGAACTATTTATAGATGCACTGCTGTGATATCTGGGATTTCCTTTAAAATATTATGGGGGAAGGGTGCTAACATAAAGGAATAGCATGAGGGAGTTTGTTTTTGATAATAGAACTATTCTGTATCTTGACTGTAGTGGTGCTAACCACGAATCTATAAAGTTGACACCAAAACGGAAAAAAGTCAATTTTGCTGTACCTTAACTTTCAAAATAAAATTTAAAATTCTATATTGTGGGGAGAGCAAGTGGAGGAATAGATGAAATAACAGGTCACGATGTGCTAATATTTGGAGCTGGGGTATTTTATTATACTATTCTCTCTTCTAAAGATTTATACATATAATTATTTAGAATATAATATTGAAGCTTATAATATATGAAGTCATAGATGGCAAATTTAGGAAAATAGTTTTGAAATGAAGGTGTCCTAGTATTACAAACTGTTGCACAGTGTAGCAGTAGTTGAAACATAATTGGACAAAGTTATAAGCAAGTGGAAGTGTTATGATTAAAGACATTTTATACCATGTAAATACATATGGGAAGTTACTCTGATAAAGTTTTGTTTTGGTTTGGTTTTTTTAGGATGAGAGAGGCTGCAAGAAAAATAGAAGAAAGGCATTTTTCCAACCATGCAACACATGTTGAATTTCTGCCTGTTGAGTGGCGGTCAAAACTTACTCTGGATGGAGGTACATTTTGTTTCAAAATTAAATGATTTAGTCAGGCAACAAAGTGTTGCTCATTGGGAATGAAGTGTCTTTAATTTATTTGTCTTGAGTTATACTCACTCTTTGTTCTAGATTATTTAAGAAAATAAAATCCATTAATTTTAAAAAAATAATTACATCAACTTATGTTGTTTTGGACCACTGTATAGATTTCACAGATAACACAGTTTTTATGCATGCCCTCTGTGGATGGGGGAAAGGAGAGAGACAAGTGAAGGGAACAAAATGTTTTCTAAAGTTTTTGACAGAGAAGTGACCCATCAATGCTTTTAAAACATTTGTTGTCCACAGTTTTATATAAGCTTACATTTTCTTCTTGATAATTTTCTTCCTTTATATTTGGAAGATAAAAATCTCAGGTCTTTTTTTTTTTTTTTTTTTTGCGGTATGCGGGCCTCTCACTGCTGTGGCCTCTCCCATTGCAGAGCACAGGCTCCAGACGCGCAGGCTCAGCGGCCATGGCTCACGGGCCCAGCCGCTCCGCGGCATGTGGGATCCTCCGGGACTGGGGCACAAACCCGTGTCCCCTGCATCGGCAGGCGGACTCTCAACCACTGCGCCACCAGGGAAGCCCTGGGCTGGTGAAGTCCTTGGGCTGGTGAATTATAATCTATCAGAGAGAAATTACATAATATATGCATCTTTCTTTTACACAAAGTTTTGTCCTTTGAATATTATTAAGACCATTAAAATAGAATGTTTAGGTTGATTATTTACATAATCTGAAAGATGAGAGAGTTGTACTGAACATTGTAGCAGCTGCTGTTTGTTGAGCTTTTACTATGTGCCTGGCACTCTGTTCCATTTTACTTGGAGTATCTTATTTAATTTTCTCACAAATCTATGAAATACCTACTTTTATTTTCTCTTTTAAAAATAGGGAAACTGAAACTCAGTAAAATGTGAATTTAATGAAGAATGGCAGGCAAAAATCTAGGTCTGCACGATACCAGAGCCCTTGTTGATCTGAACTGCCTCCCTGGATGATTTCCAAAGTTTCTTCCTAGTCTGTGATTCTGCCTCATAGTCAGTTAGGAATGTCAGTTATAGCTTATAAACCAAAGTGACATCAAAGTTGTAATGCGTTTAACAACAACAAAAAAAGATTGTGACCAAAGAAGACTTCTCAGCAGCAACAGCTCATATGTAAAGTTCTGGTGTAGTAACATTATCTTTTGAGCTTTTTCCATTCACCCAGATAAATAGTTTAGGCTGCTCAGGAATGTATCAATAGATAACTTGGATGAATTAACATTTAATAAAACCCCTACGTCTGTAATTTTCTGTTAGGTTTAAACTACTGCAATGGAATCTTGAAGGCATTATGCTGAGTGAAAGAAGCTAAAGGAAGAACACCACTGTTTCTCTCTCTTCTCAACACTTCTGACACCAAATATGTTGGGGATTTTCCCACACCAGCCAATTCTTTAGTTCTTGGTGGACATCAGTGGGGTGTCCTACAATTTAATTCATTTCTGACACTTAACTTCTCAGAGATAGTATAGACAGATTAAGGTCTCAGTCTCACGAAACTTTCGCCCACTTCAGATGCCAATCACAACTTCCAGATTGTCCCCTGCAGTTGTGACTGACTATAAATTGGGGGGGGGGGGTCCCACGACCCCCTCCTGAACTTCAGTCATTTACTAGAACAACTCACAAAATTCAGGGAAACGTTTACAGTTGACCTTTGAACAATGTGGACATTAAGGGCACCGACATCCCCCTCACCCCCAGTCAAAAATCCAAGTATAAACTTACAGTCCAACCCTGTATTCACAGTTCCCCATCTGCAGATGCAGCCAACCACAGATGGCCTAGTACTGTAGTATGTATTTATTGAAAAGAATCTGCATATAAGAGGATCCACAGAATTCAAACCCATGTTGTTCAAGGATCAACTGTACTTATATTTACTGGTTTAAATTACATTTATTCGTTTAAAGACTATTACAGAGGATACAGATGAACAACCAGATGAAGAGCTACATAGGGCAATGTATGGGGAAGGGGTGCAGAGATTTCCTGTCCTCTTCAAGTGCACAGTGCTTCTAGTACTTCCATTTGTTCAACAACCTAGAAGCTCTTCAAACCCTGTTGTTTAGGGTTTTTATGGAGGTTCCATCATGTAGGCATAATTGATTAAATCATTGGCTGTTGGCAATGAACTTAACCTCCAGCCCCTCTCCTCTTCCCAGAGGTTGGTGAATGGGACAGAAAGTTCAAAATTCGTTCCTCTGGCAACTCAGCCCCCATTCTCTAAGAGTCAGCTCATTAGCATATACTTAGTTAGGATTGGCAGAGGCTCATCATGAATTATAAAAGACATTCCTTTCACCCTATCACTCAGGAACTTAAAAGGGGTTTTGGAACCCTGTGTCAGAACCAGGGACAAAGACGAAATATGTATTTCTTATATCACAACATCACAGAAGTGAAACCCAAAGGTTATATAATTTATGCTTCCATTTATATGACGTACTGCAAAAGACAAAACTATAGGGATAGAGATCAGATCAGTGGCTTCCAGGGTTTGGAGGTGGGGAGTTGAGTTCTAAAGGGCAGCATGTGGGAGTTTTTTTAGGGTGATGGAACAGTTTTGTGTCCTGATCATGGTGGTAGTTATGCAAAACTATACATGCATTAAAACTGAGAGTCAGTTCTAGTAATTTTTCTGTAGATTCTTTTGTATATTCTATGTAGACAATCACATGACCTGCAAATGAAAACAGATCTTTTCCATTTCTTAAAACTATTATTTCTTTTTCTTATCGTTTTGCACTGGCTAAGACTTCAGGTAGAACATTTGTTAAAATAGTAAACATCCTATGATAAAAACTCACCAGGAAACAGGCATAGAGGGAACATACCTCAACATATATGGCCATATATGACAAGCCCACAGCTAACATCATGCTCAGTGGTGAAAAACTTAAAGCATTTCCTCTAAGATCAGGAACAAGACAAGAATGCTCACTTTCACCACTTTTATTCAGCAGAGTATTGGAAGTCCTAGCCACAGCAATCAGATAAGAAAGAGAAATAAAAGGAATCCACATTGGAAAGGAAGAAGTAAAACTCACCGTTTGCAGATGTTGTGACACTATACCTAGACAATCCCACCATAAAACTGCAAGAGCTCATCAGTGAATTCAGTAAAGTTGCAAGGTACAAAATAATATTCAGAAAACTGTTGCACTTCTATACACTAACAACAAACTGTCAAAAAAGAGAAATTAAGGAAGCAATCCCATTTACCATTACATCAAAAAGAGTAAAATACCTAGGAATAAACCTACCTAAGGAGGTAAAAGACCTGTTCTTAGAAAACTATAAGACACCAGTGAAAGAAATTGAAGATGACACCAACAGAAGGAAAGATGTACTATGTTCATGGATTGGAAGAATTAATATTGTTAAAATGACCATACTACCCAAGGCAATCTACAGATTCGGTGCAATCCCTATCAAAATACCAAGGGCATTTTTCACAGAACTAGAACAAATAATTTTAAAATGCGTATGGAAATACAGAAGACCCTGAATAGCCAAAACAATCTTGAGAAAGAAGAACAGAGCTAGAGGAATCACACTCCCTGACTTCAGACTATACTATGAAGCTACAGTCATCAAAACAGTAGGGTACTGGCACAAAAACCAACACATAGATCAATGGAACAGAAATAAACCCATGCACTATGGTCAGTTAATCTACAACAAAGGAGACAAGAATATACAATGGGGAAAAGACAGTCTCTTCAATGAGTGGTGCCAGGAAAACCAGAGAGTTACATGTAAAAGAATGAAATTAGAATATTCTCTAACACCATATACAAAAATAAACTCAAAATGGATTAAAGACCTAAGTGTAAACCCACAAAACTAGAAGAAAACATAGGTGGAACACTCTGGAATGGGGGAAAATATTTGCAAATGATATGACCAATAAGGGGTTAATATCCAATACCTCATATAGCTCGACATCAAGAAAAGTAGGGCTTCCCTGGTGGCGCAGTGGTTGAGAGTCCGCCTGCCGATGC